TGTATGTTTGAGAGCTGTGACCATAGACTCTGTTGATGCAGGAACCAAAAAAGAACTGCAATTTTTTTAGGTGGGTGGATGGGGCGGTGGATGAAGTCGATGCAAGGAACCCTGGCATAGACAACACAATTCTTAATCTACAAGAGAATTTACGGTTGGTTGAGGCTAAGGCAAAGAGGAGGAAGAAGGAGAGAAAAATTGTAGTCGGAGAGCTGAGAAGGTTAACGATGATGTTCGTGTCATTCGACATATGTTCGTCGTTGTTAGTTTGTTGAATGTAGAGTTACTTGCCGTAGTGTTGGCCAATCGCAGCAGTATGATTTAGGATGATGTGTTCTAAGTTAGTGTTATTTGTTATGTATTGTTATGACAAGTAATGTGTTTCTCGCAAGTAATGCAGTGTTATGAATTGAATTGGCAAGCTAGTGTTATGTATTGCATTGGCAAACCTTAACATTCATAACCTGATGCATCTGTTTAACAAGGCAGGACTTAACCACCAATGGAGATACCATAAATACCATCCATTTTCTACCGTCCTAACATCCATCTACTAACATTCATAATTTTCATTACATCCATTTTCTACCGTCCTAACATCCATCTACTAACATTCATAATTTCAATTACATCCAATGTCTGTCGTCCTAACATCCAGCTACTAACACTACTCCGAAAGGTGGATTAGACCACGAGTCACATAGCAAAAAAAGCTCCACCGAGTGCATCCATAACACGCATTGTAAGCAAAAAAGGTGACTCATGGTGACTTTGGAATCTAAGGTTGTGTCGGAGGCGGATGGCTTCCTTGGGCATCCATCTCAGTTGGCTGAGTACCTCCATCAGGACGACCCTGTGATCCATTCAACTGAAACAGATTATGAAGTTAGCAAAAACTCACAACAGTGGGGGTACCAACCATCATTCCAAAGAAACATTATAACTCAATCTTACCCTCACGTACTGATTCCCAGTTGCCTCAATTACATACACCCCTATCCCTTTTGTTGCAACTCGCATCTCACGCTCAATCGTCCTTCAATCTCCCACATTCAACACAACATCCTAGAATTCAAATGACCACACAACATCAAATGACCACGAATTCAAAAAGAGTTACTTGTATTCGTTATTGTCTTCACGAAGGCTTACCTGTATTCCATTAACTCGGTTGAGGGGGCAGGTTCTCGCATTATGGGTCGCTGATTGACACTTAGAGCAATGGAGAACTCGCTTCCTCCTTGTGTCAGGGATAATTGGGGCAGCATTGTTCTCTCCAGCTGTAACAGTTGGGGAAACATTGTTTCCGCCACCAGTAGCGTTTCCAGCAGTGCGAGAAGCCCTTCTTGGTGCTGTTCGAGAACATCTTTCTTCATTTCGAGTGTTAGCCTAAATAGTAGAATGCCCCAATGTTAGTAAGAAATCAATTAACAATAAACTATTACATGTACAACTCATGCATACCTGAATCTCAGCTTCAGTAGCTTTGCAGCCCCTCGAGTTATGCCCCTCAATACCATATTTCTTGCAATGTATGATACTACCCCTTCTAGTTACCTCCTCGCCAACCCCATTCCGCTGAGGTCTCGTTTCCAACTCGTGAGCAGCCCTTCGTCGCTTCTTCTTAGGCCTTCCCGGCATGGCTCTTTGCTTCGGAGGATGAACTGGAAGACCAATAGCATATGGCCAAGCCGGCCTACCGTCTAAGCAAGGGATGCCAACCTTGTAGCCTCCCACGACATGGTGGGCCTTGTAACAAGGATGTACATAATCGTCCACCTCCTTCCTCATATGTGAAATTGCCGAGACAGCATGGCAACAAGGCAGGCCACTCAATTGCCAGTATCCACATGTACAACTCATATAATTTAGGTCCACTATGTAGCCATTCTCACCCATCTTCACTTCGCACTTCTCCGCCAATGTCTGCCTAGCAATGCACAACCTAGCGAATTTCTTTTCTTTCTCTACCCTCTTCCTAATTCTAGGGCGCAACATATCCGGGGTGTCCATCAACAAGTTGTACTTAATTAATAACCGGTCCATCATGTACAACCTAATACCCTCTAGCATGTCGATTATTCTCAAGCCCCTATACTTCACAATTGTCCCATTAAACGTCTCACAAATATTGCTTTCAACACTATCACACTTAGACATTGTCGACATGAATGCTCGGCAAAAGGATCGGGGTTCGGCAGCCATGAAATCAGTAAAGGGCGTGGATCCAAGTTCGGTACCTTCAATTGTCTCCATTTCCTTGGTGGCCTTCTTCCAATCGACCTCATTGCAAGCATAAACTACCTTCCAGAACAGTCCACGAACCTGGTCAGTTTTGTTCTTTGCCTTCCAATTCGCATAAACATGGTGGGCACACTTGCGATGCTCTGCTTCCGGTAACAGCTCATGAGTTGCTTCAATCAGACCCTACAAGCACAAAGAAAACAGTTAAGGATGGGCAGCAAGTTAAACAAATTAGGAAGTAAGTTAAACAAAAAAGACAGCAAGTTATGAGTCTAACCTTTTGTTGGTCTGAGATGATTGTCCAGCCCCTACCATCTGTTAACCCCAGCTCTTGAGAGAGAATGTTGACAAACCATCTCCAAGAGTTTGCATTCTCTCCCTCCACGACTGCCCAGGCGATTGGGTACATCTGATTATTTCCATCCTTCCCAACCGCTGAAAGAATCATGCCCTTTACCTCCCCCTTCAAGAAACAACCGTCAAATTCGATAATTGGGCGACAAGCGAGAATAAAACCATCTCGGATGTTTGAGAACATCACAAACATCCTTTGAAAGTAGACATTTTCTTGTGCGGGATGCGGTTCAACCTCTAGTTCGAACCGGTCTAACCTGTCTGGTTTCTTCAGCTCACCCAAGTATGATCGTAGCCTCGTGTACTCATCTTTCAAAGAGCCACTCAGAAGTCGAATGGCTGCCACCTTTGCCCTATAACATGTCCTTCTCTTAACGTCGATGTTGTGCTTGAGTTTCACTTCGGCCATGATCTGCTCTAGGGCCCATTCAGGATTGATCCTGAACCTCTCTAGCATGTCCGTCGCAATCCACTTCGCCGTAACTTGATTCACCCGAAGCTGTCTCGAACAAGAATGTGGCAGCCCCACCTTCCTTACCATAAAAGTCTGGTTCTTCCTAAACCAGCTTGCATACACTTTCCATTTACAGCTCTTGTTCTTACACTTCACTTCCCTCCTCGTAGGGTTAACCCTTGTCTACCTCAAACCTGCCCCATTTGCTACGGAATGCTTCACCACCGCAGTCTTAAACTGGTCAGGATCCCTGAATCTCATGCGAGCGACAAACTCAAACTTCTTGTGCTCACACTGAGGATCGTAGTATGGTGCGTTGTAGAACACATCAGCACTAGCCTCATCAGATATATTACCTCGCACGTGGTCAGACTCCTTGGAAGGTCTGTAGCTCGAATGATTACTTGTCTCCTTACGTGCTTGCTCAGTTGGTGACACTTGCTGAGTTTCAGAATCTTCAACCTCCTCTTCATTCACATCAAGGTTGTCAATCCCGGCTTCTTCAACCTCTTCCTCAAATTCCTCCTCATCAGATTCCACCTTTTCAAACTCGTCCAACTATTCCACCTCCTCCCCATGACCATCAACTCTCATTCTCACCTTTCTCTTCCTCATTTCTCCATATGCCCAAAGGTTGATCCTTGCCTCATGGTACTCATCGTCGGAGGTGTCAGCATCATCGGAGTCGTAAACATGGATCATTGTTCGAGCCACAGAAGCAACAACTATTCCTTCGTCTGCTGATAGGTAATCAGCAGAATTCCCTTCCTGGTTTGGGTCATTCTCTTCCATTGAACTCACCATCTGTTAGAAGGAAAACACATTCAAATACTATTTTAATCACAATTACTATTATAATCACAATGTTAATGCGTTTTTAATCAATAAACAACAAAAGAATCATCACCAACAAACATTATTCTATCCTAGGGTTTTCCAAAGCCAATGACGATTCTGCCCAGTAGCTTTCCAGTTGCTTACCTTCCAATTCAAGGGCAAATTCGCGAAGAGAAGAATTCCAGTGGTCCCGAGTAGACCCCTTTGTGTCGCTTTCTGACTTTAATACCAGGTACGAACTATAAAAGGAAGAAACCAACCAAAATTTACAACACTCCACTTAAAATCCATCTCATCGAAGCTTAGTGAAGATAACTCGACACTTACCAGTCGACTGAAAGGAAGAAGCCCAGAAATCGCCCTTCGTCAAAAATCAAGAATCTTCAAGATTAGGGTTTTGAACCGGCAACTTCATCTTGGGAAATCTTCGCCTTCGATGGTCGATTCCCCCTCACCAACAGTGAATCGCGTAGCCGGAACGTGGAGAGGATCTATTGAACCCCGCGATGCATGGCCGATTCGATGGAGGGAGGCTCGGAAAGGATTTATGGTTCGTGAATCGGAAAGGAGGAAAGCGGTTTTGCTTCTCGTGATAGGTTCGTGGATCGGAAAGGCTTTCGTCGTCGTCGACGACTACCAACGCCGATCTGGAGAGGGGGAGCGTCGTAGTTCGTCGTCGGAGAAGATGGGTTTTCTCTGGATATTGAATCGGGGGAAGGGAAGGGGAAAATGAAAAAGATAGAAAGTGACTGAGGCGTAAGAATGCATTTACCGTTTCGTCTTTTTTTTATTCCACGTGGAATTCACTTGTTTGATGAGAAAAGCCACATCGGATGGTCCGTTTGTCCAGTCAGCACGTTAACTAACACCGTCAAACAATTGGACGGAAGTGACTATTTCTTGTATTTCTCCAAAAGTGGCTATATTTGGCAAAAACGTCAAAATTTTGGCTATACATGTGAATTTGGCCTTTTAAGTACTACAACTTTTATTAGGAAGAAATTTTCAAAACATGAATTAGTTTTTGGATATACGGGTCTAAGTTATTCCCAAGACCTCAGGCAGGTTTTGAGAAATTGTGGTATTTTTGAAATTTTTCGAAAATTAGTGATATTGTTGCAATTTTCTTTTATTTTAGTGGTATTTCTGGAAAATTTCCGGTTATCTGCCGGTACGATTCAACAACCGAGCAATACAGTAACAGTGGCAATCCACAGTAGTAAAAGAACCCACACCATTGATCGTTGGTTGTCTCAACAAGCTCTACAAAATCAGAGATATTACAGTCTCGTGTTTAAGAACACATCAAGAAACAACTCCTCGTTAAGAAAAACAGCCATTCCACCATGAATCCAAGTCCAAACAACTTCCCCTTAACTGAAAGAAGCCCTTTTCTATCACTAACATGGCTCAGTTCCTTATTACCCACATAAGAAAGCTCCCTGATCTTTGTTTCACCTGGCAAAAGTCCCCACCTTTTTTTATTTGATGATGCCTATTGATCTTGTTTCGCGTTGGTCTACAAAACAGGCAGAGAACTCTGTTTCTTCCACACTCCAAGAGTAGCATTCATGGGAAGAAGGAGAAGAGGCTTAGAAAAACGATTTTGCAGCTTCAATGACAGCTTCTACTGTCAATCCATACTCCTTATAAATCTTCCCCGCCGGAGCACTGGCGCCGAACTTATCGATACCAATGGCTTTCCCCTTGTCTCCCACAAACTTCTGCCACCCAAATGTGGATGCAGCCTCAATGCTGACCCTAGCCGTTACACCTGCCGGGAAAACACTCTCCTTGTACTCATCACTCTGCTTATCGTACAATTCCCACGAAACCAAAGACACGACTCGAACCGCCTTCCCTTCCTTCCTCAGCTCATCTCCAGCCTTCGCCGCGATCTCCAACTCCGAACCTGTCCCGGCAAGAATGACATCCGGTTTGTTCCCTGTCGAATTGTCCGAGATCACGTACCCTCCCTTGGCAACGCCCTCGATCGATGTTCCCGGAAGCTGGGGCAGCTTCTGCCTCGAGAGGGCGAGGACCGAAGGCGTCTTTCGGCTCTCCACTGCGATTTTGTACGCTCCGGCGGTCTCGTTCCCATCAGCCGGCCGGAACATGAAGATGTTCGGCATTGCCCTGAAGCTGGCAATGTGCTCGATGGGCTGATGGGTCGGCCCATCTTCTCCAAGCCCAATTGAATCGTGGGTCATCACGTAGATCACTCCTGCTTCCGACAATGCTGAGATTCTCATGGCTCCTCTCATGTAGTCGGTGAAGACGAAGAATGTGGCGCAGTAAGGGATGAATCCCGGGCTGTGGAGTGCTATCCCATTGCAGATGGCGCCCATACCGTGCTCACGTACTCCGAACCGGAGGTTTCGTTCCTCGGGGGTGGACTTCTGGAAGTCGCCAAAGGCTTTCATCAGAGTCATGTTGGAGGAAGCGAGATCAGCACTTCCTCCAAGGAAGCCGGGGAGAACCGTGGCGAGTGCGTTCAGGTTTTGTTGCGAGAGGTTTCGTGTTGCGTCTGCAGCGCTCTCGGGGGTGTAAGTTGGGAGTGCGGATTCCCAACCGGATGGGAGTTCACCAGTCGTGATGGATTTCAATTCTGCTGCTTCCTCTGGGTACTTCTTCGAGTACTCGGCGAATTTCGCGTTCCACTCGGCTTCGAGTGCTGCTCCTTCGGGAGTGTGTCGACTCCAATGCCTGTAGGGGCAAAGCATAAACAAGAAAGCATTGAGTTGAAGTTGATCTTTTCGTGTTCTGAAATCATGAAGGGAAATTATCATCTTGCATTCATCTTACTTCTTAACATCCTCCGGAACGTGGAATGGCTCGAAGGGCCAGCCGAGGTTCTGCCTCGTGGCTTCGACTTCTTTAGAACCTAATGCAGCTCCATGGACACTGTAAGAGTTCGCCTTGTTTGGTGATCCGAAACCGATGGTAGTAGTGACCTGCAATTGTCATAACTAAGTAATCAGCAAAAAGGAGAAGACAACAACTCCTACCAAGTATAATCAAAACTGTGAAAACAAAAACATTAACCTTGATCATGGTAGGCTTGTCTTTGACAGCCTTGGCCTCCTCAATGGCAGCTCTGATCTCATCATACCCAGTGTTACCGTTCTTCACCCAGATCACATGCCATCCGAGCGCCTCGAAACGAGCGTCAACATTCTCCGTGAATGCAATCTCTGTGTCTCCATCGATCGAGATGTGATTGTCGTCGTAGAAAGCAATGAGCTTGCCGAGTCCCCAATGCCCCGCAAGGGAGCATGCCTCATTTGCAATTCCCTCCATTTGGCATCCATCTCCAAGAATCACATACCTTTACATCAAAACATCATTTACCTTAAGTCATTTCAATCTAACAGACAAACCATTTACATTACCAAAGACATTCATCAATTCAATCGAATCATATTACGTGTAGTGATCGACAATCTCTGCATCGGGTTTGTTGTATCTTGCAGCCAAGTGCTTCTCGGCAAGAGCCAAACCAACAGCATTGGCAATTCCCTGACCCAAAGGACCTACAGCAAAAGGGGAAACCAAAAGCAACCCATGATTCCTTAATTCATATAGCTAGATTTCAAGTTCAGTCCAGTTGTGTGCAGATAGCTGAAACACAGTAAAAGGGTATTTCATTTTCAAACCAGTTGTCACTTCAACTCCAGGTGTTTCAAAGTTCTCAGGATGGCCAGGGGTCTGGCTTCCCCATTGACGAAACTGCTTCAAATCTTCCTCCTGAAATCATCAAGCCATCCAACAATTGCAGTAAGTTAAAAAAGACCACGAGGGAACAAAACCCATCTTCCAATTTCCATTCCACATTATACAATTCAGGAGCCAACAAATTATCTAATACACTAAATCACTAATCCAATCCAATCTAACCCAAAAGGGGAAATGAGACAATGTCAGGGAAACTCTCATACCTTCACGGCGTCGTAGCCAGCAAGGTGAAGCAGGGCGTACTGCAGCATGCAGCCGTGCCCAGCTGACAGAACAAACCTATCCCTGTTGAACCAGTAAGGGTTCTTGGGGTTGTACCTCATCACCTCATCATACAATATGTGACCCATCGGGGCGCAACCCATGGGCAGGCCCGGGTGGCCGGAATTCGCCTTCTCCACGGCATCAATCGCCAGAAACCTAATCGTGTTCACCGATTTCTCCACCAACTCGGTGTCAGTCTTCTGCAGAGTCTCCACGGCCGCAGCGCGGACAACAGCACAGGAGGATCTCGATCGGGTCGAGCGGCGGCGGGAGGAAGAGGCGGCGGCTCTGGCGGAAGGGAGGGAAGGCTTGACTGCGGAGAGGAAGGAGAGGGAGTGAGGCGGGAGGGCGGAATTGTGGGTCGCAGGGTGATTGGGAATCGCCCGGGAGAGAAGGGATTGGGAGAATGTGGAAGAAGCCGAAGCCGCCATGGCTGCTGTGGAGGAGGAGGAAGAGAATTGGGGTTGGGAGAGTGGTGGTGTGTGGCTTTCGGGTCGTCTCTGTTTTTAGCTTTTGGTGGGTTTTGTGGATTTATTAATGGATGATATGGGTTGTGGTGTGCGTTATGATTTGGTTCTTGAAAGTTTGGATATTTTTGGTTGGACGGTTTTCTGGCAATCGCCGGTGACGGAGGAAGAAGAGAACAAAAGAGGGGAAGAGAAAAGGCGATTAGGCGACGGTTAGATTGGGATAGAATGGTCAAGTGGAAGAGTGGATGAGAGCCGTTTAGTTTGGGTAGGAAACGATTGACTTCTGATTTTTTGCTACCGATTTTCCATTTTTCTATTTTAATTTTCTTATGACTTGGAATATCCGTTTTGGTTCTCTCTTTACAGAAGTTGATATCTCATATAGTGTGAATTGATATCTCTGTGTTATGGCATAGGTAGTGATATCTTAGATTTAGCCAAAATTTTACAAGGATTAGTGGCTAACAATGGGCATCTAATAGCTTTGTTGGGGGGAAAACAATCTAAGAAAGATTATTAATAAGAATAAAGATAATTGTTTCGATGTATATAGATAAGGATGTATTAACATCTTAACTATATTGAAGAATGAAGTAGAAATGGAAGACGTGATTATATAGTTGACAATTGAGGTTATTTAAGGTCGTGATGAGGAGTGTGATTCTACATTGAAGTCCAATTGCAAATATGGCCTTATGTAATTTTTCATTCAAGGCAAATGACGAAGCTATAAGGGGTGTAGGCAAACTTAACTAACAAGTGAAAATGACGGCAAATGTGAGGTTGAAGTAGATGAGCTTCGACAATAGCATAGTTGTCGCAACCGCCCCTCCGGATCGCGGGATTCGTTGCGAATAAGCTCGGAGTCGCCATCGACCTTACTGTGGTGGATCGAAAACTAACATTTATTTAATTAAATATGTTTTTTCCCAGACAAAAAGCGGTGTCTACAATAGTCACAGGGGTGGGAGTTCAAGGAATGAGAAAGGAAGGACACCGAAGGTAGAAAAAACGAGAATGGAGGAGGAGTGACAATGAATTAGGGATGGGGAATTCGTAGAACGAAAGACTGGAAGGATAGCTTGACTAAAAAACAAATAAAAATGTGTAATTTTTTCTCTCTCTTGGGCAGTGAACCAAACCTAATCCAATTTGGCAGTGTGTGCAACGTTTTGTTCTAGAGCACATCGCATCGGACCAAACCGATACCGAGAGGACCAAACCTATCTAATATAATACGGATCTATCCATGGTCCTATGAATTTTAGATACAAAAGTAAAATTAGTATGATTGATATTTGGACCGGATCAAACTGGACCGATTGCAATGCCGATCCTTGGTCCTAGATTTTTTCACTTTTGGACCACAAATCTAAAGGTTTGGTTCGGTTCGAACCGAACAATTGCACACTTCTACAATATTTATTATAATACCTGGATATCGAAATGCTAACAAAGGATGTAAAAGTCAGGCTTCTAGGATTTTAAATCTTTTAACTACATTGCTCTCTCATCAGTAAGTATCTCTAAACTCATTTAATTTGTCTTTCCAAAACCATTATCTGATCTTGCGGAGGACTGTACAACAATCAAAGTGTATCCTCTATTGGTTAGCAAGTGTTCATTGACACCACTCTATAGTCTACTAGTCATGGACCCGGCCAATTGGTCGGATATAGTTGTCAATCACGTAAATAGCCGTAGCAATTTGTATGTGATATTCGTATGTCTTTGATAGAATAGGAAAATCTAAAATTTTCAAGTTATTGAACATTAAAATTAACTGGCAGCATTAAATAATCCAAATTATTAAAATGAATCAACCATTCAAAATTATCAACATCATACTGTTTCCCGACATTGTAACTGACTTATTGATTAAAAATCCTTTTTACAAAAAATGAAAGACAGACCTCATGTCGGGGAACTGGCTCCTAAATTTTTTTAAGAACCTTTCTATTACCCCTCATAGTCACATATTACTGCATGTTTTCATTTGAATTGTATGCATTTACTCTACCATGAGCAACATTGTTTTTTTTTTTGCATAAGAAGGAGGCCTTAGGCCAAGAAAGAGAACAACGAATACAGGGGGAGATTAAACATGGGGAGAGGAGCTTGCCACAACCCGGTGCTCAAACATGACACCTAAAAAGTCGTCCCGAAGCAACGGAACAACACCAGTAGGCGGGTCAACCATCTCATGCAACCCGTAGGGATAGACGAGACTGTGCTTCGAGAGCCAGTCCGCGACTCTCTTCCCTTCGCGATATGTATGAGAAAGGTTGACCAGCCAATCTTGACTCAGCTTCATGCGAATAAGGCCTAACAGAGTAGCATAAGGATGTATGGGATCATGTATGTTCTGTATCAACTGGATGGCTAGTTGAGAGTCCAATACCACCCTCACCATTCGAAAACCAAGACCCCAGGTAATCTCAAGGCCATAAAAATGGCCCACAATTCAGCCAAAGCCGCCGTTGCATTCCCAATGTTGGCCACGAATCCACCTTGCCAGTTCCCCAAGCTGTCGCGAACAACACCACCTGCACCGGCCGCTCCAGGATTGCCGTTTGAGGCCCCATCAATGTTCAGCATAATCCATCCTTCTGAAGGCGAAATCCATCCGATGTTAGCACTCACGCGCTCACCCTGCTGCTTCCTGTGATCAAAAACCAAACTTGGAGAATTCCAGGCATCAATCCAAAGCTTACTCTTAATCAAAATGGAGTGCATGAGGGTGGGAGCGGACAGGGCAGCCCCAACTCCTTTAAAAGAAGCAACCATACGGTTTTTCCAGATCATCCAAATGGCCATGCTAAAGAAAGCCGGCCAGCCAATACCCGACGTCGTGGTATCTTTTCTCAGAAGGTTGCTGCGCAGCCAGTCTCCTTGATTGGAAGAAAAGAACATTTGCTGCTTCTCCTGCGGGACCATTCTTGCCCAAAAATACATCGCAGGAGCACAGTCCCTCAAAAGATGGATAATGGATTCAGTTTGCCCAGGGCAGCGAAGACAGCAAGGCGCGTCAACGATCCTCCTGTGAAACCTCAAGTCATTGGTTGCAATCTTCCCCTGCATCGTGAGCCAAACGAAACCTCTAACCCGTTCCGGGACCGTCAGCTTCCAAATAACTTTCCAGATGTTATCATAAGCTTGTTCACCCTGTCTGGTCAGTAAAACATAGGCAGATTTAGTAGTGAACCTGCCATCTGCAATCTCGGACCAGAAGAGAGAATCTTCCTCTTGTGAAAGCTTATCCACCACCGTACTCAGGATTTTATTGCAAATATCCGGAGGCAGAAGGTTGTTGAATAACTCTGTACGCCATCTTCCGTCGTCCTGAACAAGGTCCGCAACCGTAGCTACTTCCATGTCCCATGGAATAACTCCTGTGGCCTTCTCCTTAAAGGGTCCCTGCAAAACCCACGGATCCGACCAAAAGTTAGTCTGTTTCCCATTCTTAATATTCCACGCACAACCCTTCTTAAGAAGATCAGTAGCTTTCAGCAAGCTATTCCAGGTGAAGGACGTCAATTCCTTGGCGTTGCCTTCCGTACTTGGAGTGGACAATACGGGACCAAAGACTATCCTTCTCCTTGAACAGCCGCCAACAACCTTTAGCAAGCATGGCTATGTTGGCTTGCCGAGTCGGTCTTAAACCTACTCCCCCTTGCTCCTTAGGTGTATTCAATGTTTCCCAAGCGACAATGTGCATTTTAGCTTTCTCCTCCTCGTCACCCCAGATAAAGTCCCTGCTGATTTTGTCAATGCTCCTGCACACACCACTCGGATCAGCTCAGTATGCATGTTATACATAGGTAAAGAAGCAGTTACCGATTTAGCCACAGTAAGGTGGGCTGCAAAGTAGAGCCGTTTAGCTTTCCAAGGCGCCATCTTCTTATGAAAACGAAGCAGAAGAGACTGATAGCTTCCTTTGGTCACTCGTTCATGAATCGCCTGAATCGCGAGGTATCTGCCTAGGGCAACCTCGAGGGGAATCCCTGCACACGCGCTCAGAATCTCTGCTCTCCTCCGCAGGTAATTGGGCGAGACGTAAAGAATCGACTTGCTGTAGTTCACTCGTTGTCCCGAGCTGTGGCAAAAATCGGCCAAGATCTGCTTCACGGCCCGGATTTGTCGCTTTTCTGCCTCCGCAAATAGCAACAGGTCATCTTCAAAAAGAGATGCGTTAATGGCGGATCGGAACAATTCAGCCTTATGGCTTTCCAATCTCCGTTGGTGACCGCCTCATCAATCTTATGAGATAATCTTTCCATACAAAGGACAAAGAGGCAAGGAGAGAGAGGGTCTCCCTGTCGCACTCCACGGGTAGGTGTGATCGGTTGGGACAACTCGTCATTCCATCTGATCCTCATATTGTTATGCTCGACACAATACATTATGCACCTGATCCAAGAATTGGAGAGCCCCACTTCCTTGAGCGTATCCCGTAGAAAGTCCCATCTAAGCATGTCATAGGCCTTCTCCAAATCAATTTTGAAGATCAGCCCACCCTTCTTCCCTTTCCTCTTCCGAAGGGAATGCAAGACCTCTTGAACCACAATGATATTGTCTGTAGTCTGCCTACTAGGGATAAAGCTGCTCTGACGGGGCGAGATCAACTTCCTCATCAGAGGCTTAAGCCTGCATGTCATGGCCTTAGTAATGCTCTTGAGGCAGACATTATTGAGAGATATGGGCCTAAGCTGAGTGACACGCTCAGGGGAATCGACCTTCGGAATGAGCACCAGGGTGGACTCCGTTACTTCTTCAGGTAAAGTACTATTCTGGAAGAAAGAGATAGCCAGGTCAGCCAAAGATCTCCCCACCACCTTCCAGAACCGCCGGTAGAAAGCCGCATGGTAGCCATCTGGACCTGGTGCCTGGAAAGGTTTCATATCGAAGATGGCCTTGTGGATATCCATGATATTAAAAGGCCTGAACAAAGCTGCTGCTTCTCCCTGGCTTAGTCTGGGGGAAGCATTCCTGGGCATTCTGTCCTCATACACAGTGTTCTCCTGCAAGAAAATGTTAGTGAAAAAGTCAAACACCGACCTCACCAGAGCTTGAGGATCTGAGACCCAGTTCCCATTATCATCCTGAAGAGCCTCGATCCTGTTATACCGCCTCCTAATGTTGACTTGTTTATGGAAATAGGTTGTATTCCTCTCACCGAACTTCACCCAGTTGTCCCTAGAGCGCTGATACCAAATGAGCTCTTCTTGTTCCAGAACCTTATCTAATTCCATCTCTAACTTGGCATGGAGCTTGACTAGACCGAGATTAAAGCCAACCGCCAGTCTGTTCTCAACTCCCTTGAGACGAGCCAGCAACCTGCTTTCTTCTTCTTCACATTCCCAAAAATAACCATGTTCCACTCCAAAAGCTTGTTCGAGAGAGCAGCCAGGGAATCTTGAACTGGCGAAAGGTTGTTCCAATTCTCCGAGACAACCTCTTGTAGACTGTTGTTAGTGAACCAAGCAGCTTCGAACTTAAATGATCGAGGTCAGGGTTGTTGATTCTGCTGGAGATCGATAGAAGTGAGGATCGGATTATGATCCGACTGGTGTCAGGGAAGATGTGAGACCGAGGTATTGGGGAAGATAGAATTTCACCTCAGGTTACAGAGACTCCTGTCAAGACGGCTTGCTTTGAACGTACTGTTTTTTGGTCGCCCCTGAACCAGGTGAATTTTGGTCCAGAGAAGCCGAGATCAACAAGCTCAGCCAGATGCATCATGTTGGTGAAGAAGTGGCAGCGCCTCAGTGTATCCCTCTTTTGGGGACCCGACTTCTCATCCGGGGAGCTTATGGCGTTGAAGTCCCCAGTAAGTAGCCACGGGAGATTGATGCATTTGCTTTGGGAAATGAGGTTGTCCCAAAGTTTCCTCTACACACTCTGCCGAGGAGACGCATAAACCGCCGTTAGCATCCATTGTATCACATTCGCATTCGAAATCTTCAAGGAAATATGTTGTGTAAAGGCTGAGAACGGTTGTACCGAGAATACACCTTCATCCCAGAATACCCACACTCCGCCCATTCTCCCTTCGGCTTCCACCCGAAAAGAATTAGGAAAACCAAATTTATCACAAACCATGTTCGCCGCTTCGTCGCTAATTTGCGGTTCCTGGAGGATAACAAAATCCGAACGATAGGTCTGAATCGCCAACTTAAGTGCCCGGGCAAAAGCTCTGCTCCCACCACCCCCAACATTCCATGAAAAGATTTTAATTTTGGGCATCGACATAGATGAAAGATTCGACGAAGGAGAAGGAGAGGTTCTGAAACGCAGCCGGCACGGAGGAGCAGTTAGGCCGAAGTGGGAGCACCCCCATCCGGAGCACTGATCGAGATACAGGTGCCTGTTAACCTCTTCAGTTCCTTATCCTCAGACCCACCTGAGGCTCGACGCGCAGCTTCGGTCCAAGCTGTGATCTCTTGCAGGGTCAGTGAAGCAATGCGAGCCTTGTACTTCGCCTTCCTTTCCTTGACCGGCGACCAGATTTGCATCGGTCTCAGCTGGTTGAGTTTCGCCGGAGAATTTTTGGATTGATGTTTCTTGTTTTTGTTTCGTTTTGTCCTTGCGGCCACCGATGGTGAAGAGATTGGAGATTTATCGCAGTCGTTCTGGGAATCCTGTTGGTGCTCCACAATCTGCATCACCGTTCCATTCGCTCCTGTCACAGTGCGAAAGACGGATTGCTGAGGTGTTTGGGCCGCATCTCCCGAATGGGCTGTTGGCTTCTTAGAATCAGGTAAGGGCTCCACAGACTTGGTCATTTTGGGCTGGAGGGATGCCACTGAGGTAGAAGGCTTGTCATTGCTATTCTCTTTGGGGCGGATCGGACACTTACTTGTTGGGTTCAGGCGACTTGGCCCTGGCCCAAGAAGCCCAACCCCTTGCCCGCTGCTTTCAACCACCACTTTTTCTTTTCCTTTTTTAACTTCCTCGCCGCCCTTCTTCCCTTTCCTTTCCTGAGTATAAGTCCGTTGCTGGAGAGTAACATTAGGGTTCGCCATGGAATGGAATACCTGCGGCGAATCTTTGATTATCCCCCCGCCTTTCCCCGTTTTGTTTGTAAATCCCGGGAGATGATTGCTCATCTCATTCGTTGACTTTCCTTTTCGTAGGTTCTCCCTCGGATTGCGCCGGCTTTTCCACGTGACCATCATCCATGGTCCAAATCCTGGGTTGGAATCGATCGACTCCGCCGTCACAAGCTCCGGCGACGCATTCCCGGCGACCATCACCGCCACAGCTGGAACCGCCAGACTGTTCAGCGGGCAGCCTGCAGCCTGGTGGCCGATCTTGCCGCACTTGAAACAAACTTCAGGGAGATTCTCATACTCCACCCTCTGCCACTCATCATCAAGCCAAATTCTGGGTACCATATGCCTTGAAAGATCCACCTCTACCGCCAAACGAGCACATTTTGCCCGTTGTTGTGTCAGGGTATGATAGTCCAGTTTGATTGTTCTTCCTATAAGATTCCCTAGCATGTCAGCACCTCTTTGTGGTAGAAGTGTATCTTCAGAGCTGGAAGCTGCACCCAGACAATCATCATCTTGGGAAGAGGGTCCGAAACCTTGAACTTGGGTGTCCATTTCTGAACCACAAGGTAGTGATCGTGAATAACCCAGGGGCCGTCTGTTAGAGCGCTGAAATAGTCTTGTTCATTGTCAAGCTTCACCAAGAAGCAATCATGATCTAGATCCTTCACTTCCATAGCGCCACAAGGTCGCCACAGCCCTCTCAATCGGTTACACATGGTGACAAATCCAATTCTCAAGCCAAGCAGGCGGACCACCAAGGTTCGTTGCCATGGGGCACAAATCTTAGCCTTAAAATCAGGTGAAACTCTCAGAGTCGGTTCTCCATTTCGTTCCTCCGGCACCAAGTCATGCTCTCCCACCGGAGTCCACTGAATTAATTGATTCGGAGATGGGGCCCTGCCTGCCGGCCCCATTAACGCTCTAGCATACGAGTCGGGATTCGTGGCAGAGGCCACAACATCGGATCGATCAGTTCGCTCCCCCACTTCCTTGGACTGGGTTCCCTGCTGAGGCAAAGACAAAGACAGAGGAGAAGAATCAATAACCATATCAGAAGAGGGGATGATGGGAGCCATCATCAATGGTAAACAGGAAGACACAACTAGAGTTGAGGGATCCGGCTGATCCGGCGGTCTATCGGAAGGAAGGAGTGTCGGCGCCGAGACAGAGTTTCCATCGCAGTCAGTTGAGAGCATTTTGTCTGATTAAAGGTGAGACATTGTTATCTCCACCAGCAGTAATCTATTCATCTCCATTAGTGACACATTTATCTCCAATATCAATTTAATCTTCTTTATTCTTCTCTTACATTTCAATAATCTCTTCCTTTCTTTCATGCATTTTCTCTGAGTTTTGCTCTTCCTCATCCTTCCCTATAAAGGGAATTTTATACTCACTTGTTGGATTAGAGATGTTGCAATCTATGAGCCTGATGTTGAATGTAACGTCATTCCCTCAATTGTATGAGATGGGTAGGTGGTGGTCTATCATTCCATTATTGGCTTGGAATAGTCTCTCAGATGACATTCCAGAAAATCAACCGCTCAGTCGATCCATAACAACAATGTCAGCCTGAGCTTGTTTGTTCGCAACTCGAATTTGGATCTTGTATCTATATAATGATGGCAATGACATAAAAAATAGTTAAAATTGTATGAAGTATGTAATTTTTTAGTTGGTAAAGGAAAACATATAAATTATTCAACTAAACTCTGCTACTGCGGGTTCCCAACAGGCCACGACCTAGTCAACGCGAAGATTTCTTGCATTGACTGGGTATGGTGCGGGTATGGATAAAACTCGCAAAAAGCTTGATGGGGATGTAGCGAATATAGTTTTAGGCTCTATGGCCCCATCAAGAGTATTTATTCAAATATAAAAATAGAGGGATCGAATTCTAATATGTCAATGAAAAGAAGGATACTTCAAAAAAATTAAAAAGAATGCAATTGATTGGCCATGCAAAATAAACCTTAATTTATTTCCCCTAAATTCTCTCTTCATACCTTCACTTCTTTCTCCATTTTAAAGCGATTATTTTAGTTATATTTTTGCTCAATAAATGTGTCGAAGTTGAAGATGCATAATTCGGAAGATATTGTACCTTTCCTTACGGATTAACAGATCTTTTGGAATTGAATGTGTCAAATTCGTATTAAAATGCTTGTATATTTGTTGAATTTGTGATTTATTAGGTCTCTTAGTATTATAATTAAAGATCTACATGTTTTTTAGATATAGCAATGTTAGATGTATGGGTGTGTATCACCCGTGGGTATCCAAAAATTGCGGGTATGAGAATGAATATGCAACCTCCTCCATATGGGTATGAGTTTGATTATTTGAAAATGGATATGAGAATGGTTTAAAAAATCCCGCGCAAATCCACCCATTGCCATACATAGTGGAAAGAACATGTTTTTTTTCCCTAACAATATCTAAAAGATCCACATGATCATCCCACCAAAATGTAAATAGGCAAACTATCACATAAGGATAATGTTTCAAAATGAAATTAAATATGGAAAGTCACGTCAATCCAACAATCACCTCATTTTATGTCCCAGGCAAACCAAATGTGAGTAAAAGACAAACGTAACGTCCAATGAAATGGAGATCTCCATTTTCAAATCTAAGACTGGCTCTAACCTGGCGGCCAAATTTGAAAAAAATGAGTTTTTAGCCGGTTTTCTTCTCAAACTCATCCTCCTTTGGCCCTCCAATAATGAAAAAGGACAATTAAAAGTGAACTTGATGCTTTTAGTATGGGTGGGGGGGCATAAATGTGGATGGAAAGATGGTGGGTCTGTGGTAGGTGCGCCTAGAACGCACTCACGCAAGAGGAAGGCTTCATCCCGCGCACATGCTTCTCAGGCTTGCCCTCGTGTGTGGACCTGGATAAGAGGGTGATCATCCGCATTTGCGAGGATGACATTTAATTGTGTAACTATCTTACCGAAGAGAGTTACCTCACAACCAATCCCATGTACAATCTGAAGAATTTAAGTAGGCGGGAAATTTTAGTTAGAGCTCTTTAGGGATAACTTTTCAATGAGTTTAGTAGATGTCAATAACCCTGAATACTCAAATAAAATGGGCAACAACATCTGTGGAAGAAATTTTTTAAAGTGAATGTTTGGTTCTATATGCATAAATTTGGAGTAAATTTGAATTGAGTACAATAATTCAAATCTGAAAGAAATTTTCTTTGGTTGTACTTCTTATCAATCTCATATCGTTTATGAAATTAAACTTGTAAACTGGTTTGGCTGGAATATCGTTGCACAATATTTCCTCATTATTTGATTCAAATTTGGTGAGCAATTTGTTTGTAATTGGCCTGACTGACCTTGAAGTTTCTTTTTTGAAAGGGACCTTGAAGTTCTTGATTGTGCGATGGGACAATTACCGCCTCCTAGGAATGCTATTTTCTATATGTGGTGGTTTTTATATTTAATTTTGCAAATCATAAATTAGGTTGGGAGACCATGGTCATTCTAGGTTGATTTCAAGGAGATTGTGAGCTTAATTAAAATCCAGTCACTAAGGTGAGCCCCACGTCATGAAAATATAATGAAAAATTCATGGTGGGTGTGGTTAAGAATTGTCACATATATCAGGTACTAAGATGTGAAAATTATTAGTTAAGAAATGCCATTATATATGATGTTGTATGACACTTGACTAATAAAATTATTTTATTCTCAAATATGTCAAAGTGAATATCATATTATGGAGTATAATTTATTTGATTTTTAGTCATTAAGGTGAGTCTCACTTCATGATAGTCTAATGAAAAGTTCACAATGGGTATGGTTAAGAATTGTTACATGTATCATGTACTACGATATGAAAATTGATAGTTCAAAAATGCTATTATACATGATGTTGTAGGGCACTTCACTAATAAAATTATTTTATTCTAAAATATATTAAAGTAGATATCATGTTATGGAATCTTATTAATTTGATTGTAGGCATTAAGGTGAGTCCCACTTCGTGATAACCTAATGAAAAATTCACGGTGACTGTGGTTAATTATTACATATATAGGTACTACGATATGACAATTGATAGTTTAGAAATGTTATTATATGTGATGATGCAGGACACTTGAGTAATAAAAGTATTTTATTGTAAGATATATCAAGATGAACATCATGTTATGGAGTATAATTAATTTGATTTTTCTATTATTTATTATTATTAAAAGTAAATTAAGTGAGATATGGTTGGTTAAAAACTAATAAAGAATGATAATGCAATTTGAATTAGACACCTAATCAGATTATAAATGGATACAATAAACACAACTTAAATAAAAATAATAGATAAATATTACGTAGCATGTCAATTATAAAACAATGGAACATTTTTAGTTGGAGAGCCTGATACTTTTTCTTTTTAATCAATTAGTCGGGTGTTCTAAAATACGAAACTACCCTCCCTAACTCTACACAGAAGCTAGGAAATAACGAATGGAGTAGGTTCTCAAGTAGAAGCTCCATATATTATTTGGAGGATATTCCAACCTTGATACAAAAGCGTCTTCTGTAACAACTAACAGGATAGGGAATGAGGTTGGAATACCAATGAGTAACAAACCGCCCATCCACGGAGGCAATGAATGCTGAAGATAAGGGCTCCCATGCATGCCGTTAATTCATTCTACAGCGCCCACATACTTCCCACAAAAATCAGTTGCATCAACTGATTTTTGAGTGCCAAGTAACTAAAGTGTGTCGAGAAAGTTGGGCTGGGATTTTTGGCTGGATTTGGATAAAGTTAAGCTTCTACTGACAAAAAATAGGTAGCCTTACTTAGTTGGGCTCTTGGCAAAGCCCAATATTTGGACTGAATCCTAATTTTAAGATGAACCGGGGAAAAGGCACAAGAAGGCTGCACGATCTGGAGCCCAAACCTCTGAAGCCGGCACAAAACAAGCCCGAGCCTAGCCCTTTGTTTGCAAGGGAAGCAATACCATTTTTTTTCTTTCTTCTTTTTGGTCGAAGGGAAGCAATACTTTGATCTTTGGTTTAGAAAAAAAAAAAAAAATCAAAAGTTGGTTTGTTCTTGACTTCTTGTAAGTTGCAACTAGTTCTGTGTATGTGGATGAGTAACAAATTCTCTGATGTCTTATTGCAAGGAATTAATCGGATCGCGAAAGTATGACAACGAGTTGGATTGGGATGGATAGTAACTATCCATTATTCTATCCTAATGTGTTTGGGTTTTATTCATACTTATACTCATGCAATATTCATATAATAAATTGATACCAAATTGAATTTGATTTAAACTCAACTCATGTCCAAAATTATTAAAAGTATATTTCGATTCATTTGGATCCGACCCAATACCCATGCATGTCTTGAAACTTGAGTCAAACCTACTACTACTATTTTTCAGATTATTGATGTATGAGTTTACTTTAATTAGGCTCCAACATGCATTGTCTGTCGTCGTATTCATGGCCGGCCCTAACTCCTAAGATTAAGGAGGCCCTATTCTATCGAAAAAATGAGGCCCAATTATTTTTAATATGATAAATAGAGAAAAAATTGCAACAATCAACCATTAAAAATTATTTTCATTTGGGTCTCGTTTAGATTCGAACTTGGGATATGCAAATTCCAAACATTCACTGTCGCAACAAAGCTGGTAATCTTTTAGTCTAAAGTATGAAAAGAACTATTTGTAATTGGGTTTTTTCCTTTTCTCGTCTTTTACCGTTTATGGCTTGTATCTTATTCTGATTAACTTTTAATAAATCAATGGGATGATTTAATTAAGTTAGCATTGTTGACTTGCTGGTACAAGCAGATTAATTGTTGAAATTGAATTCTTTTTATCCTTGGAAAGCTAAAAATAAAGAAATTTGAAGCAAAAAATTTAATAATACTACTAATAAGGAAATATCATCAATCTCACCTCTCTTATTCTCTCTGTAAAACAAATAAAAAATAATAATCTATGTTATATGATTAAAAAAATATATATAATGAGAAAGCAAGTTTACTTGTCCTTAGGGGGTGGCAACCGGTCGGTT